TGTTGTTATGTATATTTTAAAACGTGTTATTTTTTTGATACTCAGCACTTATATCCCAGCTGTGCAAAGTCATGTGACGAAGACAGATTGTTTCAGACTACTCCAGACGTGCCGTGTTTCGTCAATAAAAATTGATTTTCGCGTCCACAATTAAATAACAATAAATAATTTACAGCCAATTGTCGATACACCACTTGATGAAGACCTCCCCCCCGCCCCCCTCTTTCCGCTCAGATATTACCCACTGCTGACGTTAGCCATGGATGGGAATCGAACTCGGGTGGCCAGGTTCGTCGCGTTATTGAATTCTGTACGGGAGAATCGATTTTTAAAAATGTGCTAGAATCTACTCCTTGGTCTGTTAGCACATGTATAATAGAACATACCAGACGTGCAATACAAGTGAGGCAGTACAAATAGGACGACAACAATTGTAGAAACTTGATTGAATTCATCAAATCACTGCAGGGGTGGGGAGGAGAGTGAATTGTTGCTTGTCTAGAATACTGACAGCTCAAACGACCATGAGGGATTGGCCCTGGAAAACGGAAGTCACGGAATGGAGACATCTTTCTGACCAAACACAAATATAATCCTCGCTGCTGGCATGGAACTGACCGTTTGGTTCAGCGGTGGAGCGATCAACTCGCAATCGCAAGGTTGCAAATTCCAATCCTAGTGGGCATAAGGCCGTGTGAAAGCTCTAGTACATCCAATTCGCATCTTTGCATCTTGTTAAATCTATGCTCATCGGGCGGGATGGGGGGGGGTAGTGTAGTAGTTAGCGCGCTGCGCGACGAACCCGGCGACCCGAGTTCGATTCCCCGCTCGAGACCAACACCTCTGACGATTATCTGAACCGGTCCTGGGCATCCCCTAGGTCGACTAAGCCTCAAGTGAGTACCTGGTGCGGTGTGTAAACATCGCCGCTACGGAGACAAAGCAGCCGGGCGTGATGCTGGCCCACCCCCCCCCCCTCGCGTGCCCTGCCAGCCTTCATATGAGCTTGCTAACAACACTTTCCCAACAGCCTGTTAAGGCTATACGGGGGATCTTTGTCTGGTTGGGGGTTGACTCAGCCGATAATCTCTCCAGGATCGATTAAAAGAAGTACCACCTTATGAAGAGGGGTTCTTTGAATAGACTTGTCCGTGCCATATGATTGCAGAATTTCCACCACTGGTTCAGGACTGTAAACAGGAGATGAGCACCACCTGAATGCAATTTTTTTTTTAATAATTCAGTTGCCTTTTTTTGTCCTGTGTGTATCAATTTTTGTTTCTTTTTTTCACGGGTTCTTTTGTGCCATCATTGGCAATCGGGCAGAGACCATCTACCTTGCTGCACAGACTCAAAACGGGATGTGTTTGTGTGATTTCCCCACGCAAGCATTAGCTGGGCCCTGAGCCACCCAGCCGCTTTTATTCCCTCTCCGCCGCTTTATGCTCCGTACAATGCCGTGCCTCTCCAAAATATCAGACTGAAAGTACGGGTAGCCTTTTTACGGCAAAGCTTCTACGCGATGGCTTTCGTCACACATTTACCGTAGCAACGCCATAACTGGAAGAGGCAGAGAGGCCATTCCTTTGTATTGTTATTACATTGCTTGTCTGAAGGAATTTCTTAACTTTACTCTCAGAGCTGCAGTGTTTTCATGCCACATAAGAGTGGGTCATTGGTATGGTCTCACGAGAGAGTTTCATGCGCGCGCGTGTAGCTAGTGCATGTGGCATTGCCGTGAGACTCTGGAGCCAAACACGCATACTAAGTTTTATTTAAATGAGATCTAAAAAATAATGTTTTTTAAGTATCGCTTGATACAGACCCACAAACAAACGCGAGGCTCATTACTCATCACAAAATGCCCCTTCTATCACTGGTGTCAAGGTATAAAGCATTTTCTGCTGATTAATGAATGCCGAGAATAGTCCAAACAAAGACATGTTTTGCTCACTTGAGGGTCTGGTGATGGATGCAACAATCACAATGGACAGCTGGCATATGAAAGCCGATTGGCTTTCTCATGCTAGCCTATACCCAATTGGCCAACTTCATACTTGTTTGTTTTCTTAGCTTTTTAGAAGGATATGAAAATGGATTAACGTTGAAATGAATGTTAGTTTTGCAAAATAAGCTTCGTGGGCTTTACCTCGTTTGCTGTATTTAAACGTGCTAGCATTCTTAAGTTGTTTTTCATTATATTGGCTGCATTTGTGAAAATATAAATGTGTACGGTCTTGATTAAGTATGCGAGAGGTCAAATGACAAAAAAATATATTGCTTTATTTCTTGTGCACTTTGGGCACTCATTCCAATTGTAATATTTGGCTAGGGAAAGGTTATGGTAATACCTCATGCAGAGTCATTTATTCTCAGTGCACTTATGCGTGTGTGTGTGTGTACATAATACAGTACAGTATATGCATGTATAAGTAGGAGAGTGGTAGCTTAGCGGTTAGCGCGCTGCACTACGAACCAACCGATCCGACTCCTGTTCCCGAACGCCATCAAATAGCAAGTGGCGAATATCTGAACTAATCCTGGACCTCTCCTCGGTTGACTCAGCCTTTAATAAAACGTGTAACTGGTGCAGTGTGTAAACATCAGCACTGGGGAGACAAAGGTGGCCGGGTGTGCTGTGCATTGGTGCTCACTAACAGCACTTCCCTCAAGTCTGTCAAAGGCTACACGAGGGATATTTTATTTGCTTGTGTATGTCCATGTAAGATCTTTTTTTTTATTCAATTGATGCTGAGCAAGCGGATTGGGAATTTACTTCCACTAAAAATCAAAACAATAAGAGCTGACTTTAATATTAACGTAAAATTAAATCACATTCCGAAAACATACAGAGCTTTGATAAATGGGGGATAACTTTGAAGTGATTTGCCTCTAGTCATAATTAAGTTTTTTTTTAGGTTCATTTAAAAAAATGTATACATAGGCAAAAAATTAAATGTGATTAAGCCACATTTTTACAAAACATTTAATCATTTCTTTTCCAGCAACATTGCAACAGTCATTGGGAAATTGTGCAAAATCCTTTGAAAATTTGTTGTGGTTTTCACACCTGATGATGATTGCTTGTGTTGCAGTCGAAACGTCGTGAGAATTTAATTGTTTTTTATATTTTTTTTAAATAATTGTATTGTTTACCTTCTACGTGACTTTACCGAAAGAACCAAGAATATGAATCCCTGCAGTCACGAAAGCTTTAAATCAAAATATAGTACTTGTTGCGTTTCTGTGCATGGGCTAGCACATCACTCAATCATGCACGTATGGCTCTGCGAGCTTGCGTGTCTCTTGTGCGCGAGCAAAGCAAGCTGGTTTTAAATCTCAGGGATGCACAAAGGTGGCAATTTTTATATCTGTACCTCGAGATGTTTACACCGGTACCACTCTCTACTGTCCACAGAGTAAGGTTATTGTGCAGCTTATCCAGCGCCATTACTGGAGAAGTAATTGTTACTTGAAATTGTTATCCGTAATAGAGGTTTTTTTGGGGGGTTAGATCATGTAAATATATGAAAGTGTCAGTACCAAAATGTAATAATAGGGTTTTTCCCCTTTTTTCTGGCAACAAAACTGAAACCTTTTTACAAGGATTCATGTCTGCATTAACCACAATACCTGCAGTCAAAATGCAAACCAAAAAAACATACTATGATAATATATGCATTGTCCTTGAAACTGATTGGTCCACATCAAGGGACGGCTTTCTTTTGAGCCTCGACCCAATTGGTGCTCGACCAGATGACGCCAAAAGGCATACAGCTCAAAGACAATGCACTATCAAAGTAATGAGGGCTTGGGGTGAGCATCTACATCATTAGACCTCCTTTGCCAGTACCAAAATGTAATAATAGGGTTTTTCCCCTTTTTTCTGGCAACAAAACTGAAACCTTTTTACGAGGATTCATGTCTGCATTAAGCACAATACCTGCTTTCAAAATGCAAACAAAATCAGTTTCAATGACAATGCATATATTATCATAGTATGTTTTTTTTGTTTGCATTTTGACTGCAGGTATTGTGGTTAATGCAGACATGAATCCTTGTAAAAAGGTTTCAGTTTTGTTGCCAGCAAAAAGGGGAAAACCCCTATTATTATATAAAAGTGTCGTTAAACCCGCCACCACCCGACACAGCCAATTAGTAAGAGTTGTCACGTAAACAAAACGTGCCAATTCGTTGCTTGTACAGCACACCGGTGTGTTGGAGAGTAAACCCACAACATTTACAATTCGAAGTCGACATTTCACCGGTAATTACAACCATCCTCATCAGGTGACAGCCGCATTTATATTTATGCGATCTCACATATGTATGGCCGCGAAAGCCTTCATATTATACTGTAAATAGTTCCTTGCACTTCATCTCCCATGTACAGGATGCCATGCGGTTCTTAATGGGTGCTTGCCTACGGTACTTTTGAATGGTCAAACAGGATGGCATTTTGTGTGCCTGTGTGTGTGTGTCTTTTTTGGGCAGTGATGGTGTCGCAGTCGGGGATAACTGCAGTGTGCGAATCTGTCGACCTGAAGTCGATTCATTGCCAAGGATAGTTTCAGTGACTTGTGTTATTTAAACCTGTCCTCCGCCCATATATGAGTACCTGCTGCAGTGTGTAAATATCAGCACTGTGCACATAAACCGGTGGTTGCTGAAAGCACTTCCCCCAATGGTCTATGTAGGCTACACGGGGGTATTCTTTGTGTTGGGGAGGAGCGGAGTTGTTGCATCTGCCACTGCACAACGAAACCCGGAGACCCGAGCGATTCCTGAGCACGGCCAACATCAGCGGCGAGTGACGACTGAACCAGCCCTCAATCATTCTCAAATGAGTACCCGGTGCAGCGTGTAGGCATCAACGCTCAGAAATCAAAATCGGTTTTCCTACTCGCTCACTGGCAGCAGTGTTGTGTATGGCTATTCGAGGGACCTTTGTGTCTTGTGCTTGTGTCCGCTCGTGCCTTCGCACGCGCAATGTACTGCAGCTCACGGACCGCGTTTCTGCTGGAGAACGTGCCCTGCACGGAGCCCAGCTGCAGCGCCGCAGGACGGATGCTGCAGCCCCTGTGGGACCTTCCCGAGCTGACCCGGCTGCCCAACGCCTTGGTCGCCACGTTCTTCGACCTTTACGAAGACGTGAGTGCACACACGCTCGTGCACACGCACGCACGCACGCACACGCGCAGTCATAGACACACAAAAAACAAAGATCCCCCCTATAGTGATAACATACTGTTCGGGAGAGTCCTGTTAGCGAGCACCTATGAAGGCCGACACGGCACACGAGGGGGTGGGTGGCCAGCACCACGCCCGGCCGCTTTTGTCTCCCCGGTGGCGATGTTTTACACACCGCACCAGGTACTCATTTGAGGCTGAGTCAGCCTAGGGGAGGCCCAGGACCAGTTCAGATAACTGTCACTTGGAGACACACACACAGGTTTGAAGGCACACAGACACGGAGAATACCCTCAGTAATCGGCCGAGCTAACCAGCTGCCCCAACGCCCATGCTGTCACGATCTTCAACCTTTACGATAACAATTATAATAATAATTGCAGTTTTACATCGGATTATTCATGCTATAATTGCATTTCACAAACGCTGTACAATAATTATATGCAGCATCATATTCACGGCTTAATCTTATTTCTAACAATTATTAAGTAAACGCAACCCTCAGAAATTTTAAATTAATTAACAAATCAAAACATGGTATAAAAACAAAAGGTATAAACAGACAAGGGTCTCGCTGTTAGCTGCTCACACCAGTGTCAGCAATTAGACCACCAAGTGACATCCCAGGGCAAGATCCCAACCTCTCACGCAAGCCAGGAAACCTTCACAGGAGAGGTGATAGAGTACCAAAAAGTGATGACTAATTTGGACCAATCGGTCATATGTCCAAAATGTGATTTGCTATTTATCATTGTATGTGAATGTGTGCCTGCACGGGAGAGTCTGTATTCGCACCAGGGTGCATTGCAGGGGTGTGCGGCTATGCGCGTAAATTTGTGTGGGTTGGCGTTGGCCTACCGAGCTACACTCCCGGTGGACTGAGTTTGATTCTTAGCCACAGCTCATATCAGTTTGACACGTAGCAGGCTTTCGCGACCAATATTATTCATAATAAAGGTTTTTTGGTGGTTTGATCTCGTGAGTTTAAATGTGTCATTAACCCGCCACCATCTGACACAGCCAACCAGTAAGGTTTGTCACGTAAACAAAACGTGCAGAGTGACAAACCTTACTGGTTGGCTGTGCCGGGTGATGTCGGGTTAACGACACATTTATATTTAAGTGATCTAACCCAAAACACTTTTATTATCCACAGCTAATATCAATGATGAGCAATATCTGAACTGGTTTTGGACCTCTGCTCCATAAACTGGCTCTCAAATCAATGCCTGCTTTGGTATATAAACGTCTGCACTAGGAAGACAAACAGCGCTTTCCCCAAAAATCTCCGTGGGCTATACGGGGTATCTTTGTGTCTGCAAGCACTTGTGTCATCGTTGTCCATACACAACGTGCTCAAACGCAGGCTTCTGTGCACACAAGGCCGCAGGTCTTTAGCTTTTTGTCATAGTCCATCCAGTCACGGTCTAACAATAATAAATCACTTAGTAAGTTTATATATAATTAATTAAATTCGCGGCCCATGCGCCAAATCACGCGTGCAAGATTGTATTTATTTATTTTGTGTACGTTGTATGCTATGGGTTCACGTCACCCCTAAAGCCACTGGAGGTGTGCTACCCTTCACTACGATGTTAGACGTACCTGTGCTATTAATTCTTGAATTGAATCATGACCCTAAACCGAGACTATTCATCAAATTGGCCGGGGGGGTGGGGGTGCTTTGTGGGATATGTGGGGGTGTGGAGGAGGCAGGGATGAACCCTTCCTCCCCTGGTATCTAGCGAACCCCCTCTTTAGGCTGTGAGAGTGCGCGAGGGAACTGTGCGGTCAACACCTCGTAATCATTTCCTATGCTGAGATGAATTCAAGCTCAGGCCGGCTTCGGCTGTCAATTTCTAACAACCTGTCATCGCACACGACTGAACGGGATAATATTTCAGAGTACTTGTTATTTCTTCATTTGTTCTATAACGTGGTAGTTGCATTATTATAAATCGCGTTGTAATAAATAATGTAGGGTGAAGCGCAGTCCGCGATAACACATGAGATGCTTACGCAGGCTGAACAAAGACTGAAGCACGTGGGTAGCATCTCGAAGCATCCAGCAGCATCCCAACGCCTTGTGCAACGCTACGCCAAGGCAGCCATAGAAACTGCTTATTCCTACTCGTGCAATGTAGTTTTGTTCACTCAATCACATTATATCCAATTCGCATCCGCGTTTAAAAAAAAAAAAAATTCTTCCCTAATATATTCATCGCTTTAAATCCAATTCACGTTATGAAAACAAGACACGTTATAGCAGAACTGACTGTATCGACCTGTTGTGGTGCATTCTGTTAGCGAGCACTTATTAAGGCACACGATGAGGTGGACCTCACTACCCCTGGTCACCAATGCCGATGTTTACACACTGTACCAAAGGGCTCACTTGAGGCCGAGTCAACCTAGCGGATGACCAGGACTGGTTAGCTACATCCGTGGGCGGGAATCGAACGCGGCCATTGCCAGGTTCGTCAAGGAGGAAGGGCGCTGGCAAACAGCGGCAACGGAGCTGCCCGCTTCGCGCGGACACACGCAATAAGTACAGTCACCGAGGGCTTCCTCGCCGAGATTGTGGCACCATTTTACCGTTTAATGCGTCTGATTGGGTTTGGGAGGAGCAAGGTCAAGGTGTGGATGGTGTTGGTCACTCCCGTCCGCGACCTTCATCAGAAAGAAGCCGGCGGCGGTCGGTCTCGTGCAGCCCGCTCGCTTCCCATCGAAATGAAAACCCTTTCGGTAAATAGAACGACTGCCCCGTTTTGGAAATGGAGGCAGAGAAAAAAAATCACATCGGGAATGGATTGTAGATAGAGTTACTCCCAACAGCCACCTCCCCCCCCCCCCCCTCCCCATGAATACTAAGCAGAGTAGCTTCTTCTCAACCGTGCATTCCCCCTGAAGTCTGCTGGAATTAAATTAAAAGTCGTGTCACGCTAGCAACATGTGGTTTTCTTCCGAGACGGTGGCAGGGGCCTTGCGGGTCTGTCAAATGATTTTATGCACCCCCTGGGCCTTCTGTAAAGCTCCCAAACAAATAGCACTCACTTAAATTAGCATTTGATGTTAATATGGCCTACGCCTATGTATTTTTTTTCGTGTGACAGAGCTGCGTGGTGGAACGGTGTGCCAGCTTATGTTCGTAATTTTAATATAAAAAAATATTTTATTCACGTAAATGGAATGGGCAACACATTTCTAACCTCCGTAATGGGACAGTAATAGTATTGCACTTGCTCGCAGTTACAATAGCATTGAACTATTACGTTCACGAGCCACACATTGTGGTTTTAATGTCGAAAAAAGGCTTTGTACCAAAAAAACATACATTAGCGTCCCTTTTTACAAGTATTTTACTATTCGATCATCTGGAATGACTAGCAATGCTTTGATTAAACATTCGCTCGATAAAACACACGGGGATAGATTCGGACAGATATCTTTTGCCAACCTCCCTTGCCCCTGGGCTCCCATCTCAGTGCTGATGACTAAGAATCATCGGGAGATAGCTCATGGAGACCACAGATCTCTTATGCAAGGGAGATCTCGATGCCTCGTTTGCTTGCACGTCGGCCTGCGAAAGAGCTCCGGCGATTCGACGGGTTCGCATCGTCTCAATGTTCTACCTCTGCCCAACGCTTTCAGGAAATAATAGACAAATCCACGGTTGGCGTCATGGGTCGGCGCGCCGCACTATGAACCCGCAAGAACCCGAGTTTGATTCTTTAGCGAAGTCTGAGCCAGTCCTGGGCACCAGCCTCTTCCCCGAGTCGCACCGACAAGCGTGGTGAAGTATGGTAAAGCTGACTCCCACCTCCCACCCCCTTGATTAAAATGAATGGCTGAGGGAGGTCTGCATGACTGATGTTGATGATTTTAAAGTAGGCAAGGGAGAAGAAGAACACAATTTTATTTAACTAATAAAATTAAGTTGGGAGTCCCGGCACATGTCCAATTTGCCCAGGAATGGAATCGGCTGCGGTGTGTCTGGCTTCAGTAATTTGACTGCTCTGTGCTGCTCTTAGCTATGGCACAACAGCATCTGGTTTGTTTAATCTCACTGACAGCATTTTGGGGAAGAAAAAAACAGCGCATGTGGCAAGTGTGCTTCTCTTCTCCTCCGTTCATGTGGTTTTTTTTGTTGTGCTTGTGCGAGAGTGCCGTGCGTGTGATCCGTGTACGTATTTGTTCATGTAAAATGCACAAACTTAATCTATTGAAATCTACCGCTATTATTATTATTATGATTGTGTTTGTATATGGCAGAGTAAATGTTTAGCATCAGTCAGCCCTATGCACGGTTATGTCTTACGTGCTTCCTCATTCATCTGTGTTATTTGTGTGCTTCCTTCGTATCTTGTTTACACCGCCGTGCGTGTGCCCGTACAAACAGAGATGGAGAAGTCATTCACCCTCTGTGATGATCCCAGTGACCCAAGTTTGATTCCAGCCATTGTCGTTATCGTAACCTGTCCCGAGTCTCTCCCACACTGTGATCTACCTTAAATGCAGCCTCTGGTTTTTACTGCTGCGTAGGGTTTCACAGTTGTGCTGTAATGTGGTTTCGGGCTGTACCACGTGTTCTTCTGCACGGTGTCCAACGTTTCGCTCCACGTCCTTTGTAGCTCCTTCCTGAACCACGGGTGGAGAGGTCGTAAATCGTTGCCGAACAACAAGCGGTACAACCTGAACACACACATGGGCCGAGGGGCAGTGCTTGATTTTGTTTGTAAAAACCAGTGCTGAGAAGAAGACTGGAGAGACATCACTTGTCTGTGTCACCACCTCCTTGGCTATGCCTGCCTCATTAGGGGGCTTGCTAACGACACTTGCAGTGGTATTCTATGAGCTAAATGGGATATTAGTTTTCGTTCATGTTTGTGCATTCCGAATAGGCTCGCAAGTTGACGCGGACGTATTTTCACCTTGTGCGCACACAGGCGGAGCCAGTGGGG